TTGCCGACGAACGCTTTTATGCAAATAGGGAAAAGTTACAATGGCAGTCAAATTATAGCTTTATTGCGCACAAGTCTACGTCAGAAATATCAAATTGGCATGCTTCTGGATATTGCCCATATTCAAGCCCGTTTGTTTGGGTTTATTAACTTTTCTTTTTTTTATTTTAGAAGTATTTTTTATAAAAATTAAAATTATTTATACTTTTATAAAAATATTTAGTCTTTGAAAAAAATATTTTCACTTTTCACTTCTACTTTTTTTAGAAGTTAAAATATTTAACTTCTAAAAAAGTAATTTTTTGACTTTTTTTTGTGACTTCTGCTTTTTTTAAAAGCAGACATCCAAACGAACTTAAAGTGAGGAGTGCTTTTTTTCTTGAAAAAAAAAACAGCTTTTAGAAAATGAAAAAAAACTCATCCAAACGAGCCCTAAGCGATTTTTTGTGTGATAGGTTTTGTTTCTAGTGCACTCGGAACCAGTGGCGGATCCAGAAAATTTTATTTATATCTGCATATGATTGGGCCCCCAATTTTTTTGTTTTTAAAAAGCTCTCGCCATGTATAAAATCCATGGAAAGGTATACGATAAATAACCTTGTCTTACAATTGCAACAGGTTAAATATCAAAATAAAAAATGTGACTTTTGGGTACATGACTATAACACCAACCATTGAGATAAGAAAAAAATAATAATTTAATAAATCTAAAATAATTCAGCTGCAGCTTTTTAATAGAAAAAAAAATTAGTTACTGTGTGCACTTGCTCAAAGAGGCAACAGTGCAGGTATGCTAATGCTCGGAACAAAACAAAATTGTTTCGAAAGGATATTAATCTGATATTTTACTAATTTAGATGGAAATTTTTTTGATATGACTAATGGTGATTACACAGTTAATAAGTTTCCCTAAAGCAATCTATGGAAAATTGCAAATGTGTAACTCTTTTCAACTGAATTAATTTTTTTTATGTGTTTTATAAGTTCAAGTGTTTTTTTTTATTATTATTCCAAGAAGTGCTACTTGGTTCAGTTTTGTTTGAAAATTGGGACAGTTATGATTCTATGAATCAAACATTATGAATTTTTAAATTATTAAACTGAGATATATATTACATTTTGCTATTATATAGCCAAAATAATGGACGGAAGTAAAACTCTAGTTCTACTAAAAAATATTATTATTGTCTTCCACCAAAGCAAAGCACAAAAGTAGTGCAATCATTGTAAGTGCAATTTGGATGGAAAAGAACTTGGCCCCGTTCAAGTCATTTTCCTGGTCTATTATTTTCTATTCCCGTCGGCAAAGAATTTAACTTGATCATATATAAATTATTCAATAAGTACCCTTTTGTTAGTTAGAAAACGATCCACAACATCAATATTGTCAATGAGATGTGTGATGATATGATGACAGTATAAGTATCACCATATACGGTTTAACTTGATAGAATGACATTAGAATAATTTATATCAGTGCACAAACAATGGGTAGAATTTATATATGCAACCTTATATTTGTATATTTATTAAAAAATTACTTTTCAAATTTGAACATGTAATTCTTTGGTCACAAAGAATCTGCTTTTTACTATTATTCCACTTACCCTTTCAGTAAAATTATATATACTCATGATAAATTTTAAATTTTTAATATATGCGCACGTTACCGATAAATGCAAGGCTGGTAGGTAACTACCAATATAAAAAATGATAAGTTATTTTGTCTACCTTTACGTATTCCTTTCAACATCATTAAATTATAATCACATTCAACGGTGAAAATTTGTTGAATAAAATAAATATTTTCTTCCCTTTTTTTTCTCACTACCTGGCACATTCTTTATCATTCCACTCCCTTCCTCTCCATCGTGCCCCCATCGGGCTCAACTCCTCGTCGACGCCCATCGCTCATCAATATCTCCAAGTTAATTTCACTGTCATGTGTTCTCTCCACGCCATTGCCAACAGCTGAGTAAAATTGTGCATTAGGAACAAAGCAACCTATTTTCGTTTTTTGTTTTTTAATGAAAAAGAAAAATATAAAATGGTGGGAAAAAATGAAGGAAGGAAATTTGAGATTGTGTCACCTGTGGTGTGGGAGCAAACGGCCTATCTTTACTGCGAAACAATCATTTCACCCTCATTCCCACCATTCAACAATTTACGAAAAAAAAATATGTTATTTTATTTATATTTTTTTGTGCCTATTCTCTCTGTTACTGAGATTATAATCTAATGGTTATAGAAAGTGGTGTAGGCAGAAAAAAAAATAGATAAAATAATCTATCTCTATTTTGAAAATGTTACTTTTATATTGTATTGTGAATTTTATCAAAATAGTCTATAATTTTATCGCAGGAGAAATTGTTAATCCCATAAAAAATTACAAATAAATACCTTGTAAAGGATGTTTGGTAAACACACTCGGGTACCGTTTTTTTGATAAAATACATGAGAATAATTTAGCAGAATTTATTTGTATTAAAGGGGGAAAGATAATAATATTCCGATAACCGTATCTGATCTTCAAGTATCCTAGTTACACTCATTAATTCATTATCCATAAAAGTTATCAACATCACCAAAGTGCCGAAGAAGATTCATGGTTATGCTCGATTATCCATTTTCTTTCAAAGTTAGGCTAAGATTGACTACTATATATATGATATTATCGTTATCCTGTTCACTCATCTAAATCGCTCTCACGAAACACTCCTCCACGCCTCATTTTCGTGCTTCTCCCTTAGTATTAGAGCCGGCAAAATCACTTCAGCTTGGCGGGCCAACCAGTCCCATCCGCTAAATAGAATGGGATGGGTTGAGTTTTTCAATTCATCTCAAAAGCGGAGCGGGATAAATTTATTTTTTAGCGGGTTGATGGCAGGCATAGCCGGACCGAGGCAGGTCAGTGTAAAATAGACTCGACCTAGCGGGCCAACCTGCCAAACGGGACGGGGCGAGACATGCTGACTCATTTTTTGATGGGTTGATGGTTGGGTAGGGCGTAGCGAGGCGTAGGGGTGTTAACGGGCGAGCTAAGCTTTGGTCTTAAAAGGTTAAGTCTGTGTTTAAATATGTCAGCCTGATGATCAAGCCTGTTATGAATATAATTATCGGCCTGCGGCCTGACTTATTTACAAAAAATGAAAGTCTTATTTAGCCTGTTTAAAAAAAAATAAGACAATAAAAATTTATTCAAACAGAATGTACAATCAACAGCACTAGTAATTTCATAAATATTCATAAATTCAATGTATATCCAAATAGCATAATATAGAACAAAATCATTCAAAAAGTCTGTTTAACCGACAAAATGAGGTGAAATGGATTGAGGAGAAAGAGAGAGTTATTACAAGTAGTATAAAAATTGTAAAATAAAAAAAATAATAATATACTAGGCCAGCCTGAGAGGCTCTAAGGCCGAGCTTTTGGATTGAAGCCTGAGGCCTTTCTATTAAACGAGCTTTTATACAAGTTCAAGCCTGGTTCCAACTAGTAGTGTTCGCGGTCTGAATTGGATCGGTTTTGGAAGCAAAAAACCTCAGATCCAATACTTTCGGTCGGATCATGTAATCATCCATTCGGTTTGGATTTTTTTTCAAATCTGATCCGATTCAATCCAATTTTATTTTTTTTGGATTGGATCGGTTTTCAATTTTTGAAAATCCGAGAATTTGTTTCATGATTATTGTGCAAATAACATCTTTTGTATATATTGGCTTTGTATTTTTTGTTTTGAAACACAAAAGTATTAGTAAACGATAATATAGTTTTTTTTTTACAATGAGATATGAAGCTCTACACAGATAAAATTTTGTTGATGAGATGTGACTAGGTTTTTTTTTTTTGGGTTTAGTTGATAAATAAATGGGTCTTGAGTTTAGAAATTTTTGAGCTATAGTTGGGGAAAAGTCCAAGTAAGTAGAGGAGAATTAACATATTGGATTGATTTTTATCAACCAATCAGAAAATCGATTCAATCCAATTAAAATTTGCGATTTTTTTTCAATTTTTGTTTTTCGATTTTCGATTTATTCGGTTATCAGTTTTTCGGTTCGATTACCGCGGTTTAAATCGGTTTGGACCAGTTGATGAACACCCCTAATTCCAACAATCAATTTTAAACATATAAGTTTGTGCCTTCACGAGCCGAGCAAAGATCCTATTCATTTATCACCCTAACGAGCGATTTGCCACCTCTACTTAGCATATATAGGAATAGTATGCACCATAATGGGCTCTGTCTTTGTGTCCCGATTCTGGTGAATGTGCACCCATTTCTCGCATGGACGAGTAGCTATCTTTTCAACGAAAAAGGATGACGCATAATACTCCATTGTTTTGTCCGTTCTACCAATACCAGGATTTTAAACAAAGATAAAATAGATAAGTTTACAAAATTTTATATAATTTAAAAGTAATTCAATGATAAGAATATAAGTTAATATCGAATATAAGTTAAAGATTATATATTTAAAAGTGATTCAATTGCTATATATGTTAAAGGAATTTACATTTGTCATTTAACATGACACAACAAACTTTCCTACATACACAATATTTTGTGGAACCCACACTTTTTGAAGAAAACAGAAAAAGAAAAAATTACAACACGCAAAACGAATTTCTATAACATTACACAATCATTTTTTCTATAACATAACTCTTATAAAACCCTATGTTAAATTCATAGTTTAAAGAAAAACATAATATAGTATAAATATTGAAAATATATTTCTAAAATTAGTGGATCCCTTTCTTATTATAATAAAGAAAAGGACATGCATTGGGTACATATAGGGGTATCTAATTCGCCTTGATCATCATTCATATACAGACAAAACACCATCCCCACTTCTGATGTAGTGTTGTTAGACACCCCCCCCCCCCCCCCCCCCCCCATTTCATACCTTAATATAAACCCCAATCCATGAAATGAGAATAAAGCCACCCTCCTCCTTCTTCTTCTATTTCAAAAACCAAAACCTCTCCCTCTTCTCTTGGTATACACATACATAGGCAAAAATAAAAATGGTGTTAATGGAATGCCAATGGTTATTTTCAACTCCAAGTGTCCCTTTGGCATCAGCAATATTCACCATGCTGGCGCTAATAGGAGGATTATTGGGTTATATGTATGGGCCCTATTGGAGGTTAAGGAAAGTTCCAGGCCCACCATCTCTGCCTCTGGTAGGACACCTTCCTTTGCTGGCTAAGTATGGCCCTGATGTATTCTCAGTCCTCACCAAACAATATGGTCCAATCTACAGGTTTGTAATTGCATGCTTACTAATAGAACTACATTGTACAAGGTAACTTGGTACACCAGAATCACTTGGTTTATTAATCCCATCCTCCTTTTCTTCTCTTTCTCTGATTGATAAGAAAAAAAAGCTTGTTACTATTGACATGATACAAAATTTGTATACATGATAGTCAAAAGCCTAAAACTCCTTTTAGGTGTATGATCTTTGACTTATGAAGGGTATGGTGGTGGGTCAGTGTTTTAGTTCATATTGCCCGGGAAAAACTAAATATAAATTGAAAATATTTATTATGAGGAATATATTTCACACATTACATGCGATAATTTTATCTCGTACAAAACATTAAAAAGTGAGTGGAATTCACTTAAAAAAAATAGAGAAAAAACTGGATTTTCTTTTCTTTTTGTATGTGCATGATATAACATGAGAAACATATTTTTTATTTATTATTCTGTAATCTATATGCGTTTTTTTTTTTTTTCTTCCAATATGACAATGGCCCATTATCAGCATGGCCGTCCTTTCAGCACCATGATTATATTGTTCTCAATAAATTTTAATTCTGTCTTCAATTTTACACGTAATAAACGTTTTAAAGTTCGATTTGTCTTTGTCATTGACTCATTTATCTTCTATCCCAAATGGCCCAAAAGCCTGGTTATTCTGGTACATGTTTACCCGTAGTCAATAGGGAAATAGTTGTGCTGCGATCTTAATCATTATACACAGAAAACTTTTTACTTTCTTCTTGCAGGTGGATTACTAAGTTATTGTTTTGCAATCATCCTAAAACTACATCGTTTTATGTGTTTGAAAATGTAACAAAGAATGTTTTCATATTTTTGTTTGTTTATTGAAGAGTTTTTGATATTTTTATTTATTTATTTATTTTATAAATTTTATTAAAATATTATTCATTAATTCTCCGAGCACTCAAAATGACATAGTTTTGAGATAACACGACAAAACCTTAGGTGTTGTGACAAAACAAACGATAAACTCATATATATATATATATATATATATGGGATTAAAGTTTCTGCTGTAACTTTAGATAAGTATATCTGCTGTTAGCTTAAACACACCGTTTTGGTCTCTTTTTTAAAAAACTAAAACAAATTAGTTATCGTGCAACTGTTCCAAATCACGCTGTTTTTGTCATTTTTTTTACACACCTCGTTCGTATTCTCTATCTCTCTCGTCCAATTTGCCAACCCCGAATCCGCAAAATGCAACGATTCCACTAAGAAATCATTGGTCGAATCCAAAAACTGCACTGTTGGGTTGAGACGATCTCTCAGGTTGAACAATGGGGTCTTTGGGTTTTCCTCTCTTAGACGATCTCCCAGGTTGTCCAATCACAAACCCCACGGGAATAAGCAAATGGATAAGAAATCAAGTAAATCTGATGAATCTTCCTGTGACTTAGGGAAATCGAGGAGAGTGAAGGATAGTGAAGCGAAAATGAAAGAAAGTTCCATGGTTACCGACGAGGCAAACACAGTGTTAAAAAAAGGCGAAAATAGTGTGTTAATGGCGTAATTTGGAAGAGTTGCGATAAGTAATTTGTTTTAGTAAAAAAAAAAAGACCAAAACGATGTGTTTAAATTAACAGCAGATATACTTATCTAAAGTTACAGCAGAAATTTTAATCCCTATATATATATATATATATATATATATATATATATATATATATATATATGAGATAAATATTTTTTAAGTAACTTGAGATAAGTTTATCTCCGGCTACTAAATCATGACCGTACAAAGATGGATCAATATGGTGATAAAGGAAGAGAGAGAAAAATGGAATCATAAACATTCAAAGGTGAATCAATTAATATAAGGAAATAAATAAACAAAGCGACGTAGTTTTGGGATGGCCGGAGATAAACTTATCTCAAGCAGCTTGAGAAATGTTTTTCTCATATATATATATATATATATATATATATATATATATATATATAATTTTACACCAGTGTAAATTACACTCTTAATCTTATCCGTTAATCCCACTTGTATCTAAGGGCTCAAATTTTTTAATAATGTAAGCCATTAGATACAAGTGGATCAATAATCAAGATTGAGTGTAAGAGTTAGAAGTCTGACACTCAATTTTGACCATTGATACACTTGTATCCAATGGCTCACATTACTAAAAAAATTAGAACCCTTAGATATAAGAGAGATCAATGGATAAGATTGAGAGTGTAACTTACACTGGTGTAAAATGATCACGACCCTATATATATATATATGGTAAAATTATTTTTGCAATCGCTTTACGTACAGCAACGACAGGTATGGTTATGATTCCCCACATTTAATTCTTTCATCTTTTATACGGTTATGATTTCCTGCATTTAATGCTTTCACATATATATATGGCAAACATTTGATTGTTGCACGTACAACAGCTGCAGAAATGTAAACCCCTATATATATAGAGAGGTAGGATCCTTTGACACCGGTGTCAAATTTGAAGTTTGACACCTCATCTAAGAGTTGTTAGATAAAAAAAGATCAATGGTGTCACATGCTTACATATCAGAGTCGTTGATCTTTTTCAATCTAACGACTTTTAGATGAGGTGTCAAACTTCAAATTTTACACCGGTGTCAAAGGATCCTGCATCATATATATATATATATATATATATATATATATATATATATATATATATGACTTATCGTTTCTCAAGTTGCTTGAGATAACTTTATATCCGACTACTAAATCATAACCGTACAAAGATTGATCAACGGTGATAAAGGAAGAGAGAGAAAAAATGAATCATAATCATTCAAAGGTGAATGAATTAATATAAAGAAATAAATAAATAAAATAACGTAATTTTTGGATGAACGAGGATAAATATATCTCAAGTTGTTGAGAAATATTTTTCTCATATATATATATGAGACTTTGATTTTCTTATATTGCATGAGAATTATTTTCTCATATTGTAACTCAACTAGTGGTGGATCTTACACTAATTAAAAAAAAATTCCACCCAAATCAAAGGACAATACGAGAAGTGTTTTTCATATATACAACATGAGAAAATAATTATCATAATATAAAAAAATCAAAGCCCATTTTGAAAAGTGCAAGTATTAAGTATATGATTAAAAAATTAAAAATAATATTCACCTCTAAAAATTTACATAAATTTGAAGGAGCTTGAATTCCTATATCGCTGTGGGAGTGTTTCATTTCATGCTTATCAAGCCATATAACTAACAAATGTTATTAAATTCAAATCGGTCATCGACTCAGTTAAGATACTATTATGGGTCAGTGGTTGAATCTCTTAAATTAAATTTATAAATAAATATAAATATAAGTATATGACAACCAAAATTTTTTGACTTATTGATTAGCATGTCACTCCTTTTCTTTTGGTGGCAAGTTCAAATCTCAAGAGTAAAATTATAATGGAATATTTTGATACAATTTTCAAAAATTGGTTCAACTAAGAAATTGTTACGACACATGGGTGGGCGTGATGGTTCAGCATCTCATCCCTTGAACAAGTGGTTGAGGGTTCGAACCCCAACTTTTGTGAATGAAAAGTATTTCATGGCCAGCTCTTTACCACTTTGTGCGCTGACCTGGGTCGAGAATTAGTCTCATGGTTATCGACCTTGGAGATATCGGATGTAATACAAAAAAAGAAATTGGTACCGTGTTAGTGCCGGTTGAAACAGATTTTTTACCGATTCGTTGGTTTTTGATCGGATTACATGCATAGTTGATTAATTGGCCAAATCGAATTGATTTGGGGACTGGTTCCGATTTAACCGGTCCAACTGGCAGGGCCGGTTTTTATGATACTGTAACTAACTCATTGCCTTTCTTTTTTTCTTTTTTCTTGTTACTCACTTTATTTCTTTCTTCCATGATTTTCACTGTTACTGTTGATAATGTTGTTGCTATTTGTTCAATGGAGTAGATTTCATATGGGAAGACAACCACTAATAATCGTAGCAGACGCAGAGCTTTGTAAAGAGGTGGGAATAAAAAAATTCAAAGACATTCCTAACAGAAGCATTCCCTCTCCTATTTCTGCTTCCCCTCTTCACCAAAATGGTCTCTTCTTCACTAGGTATGCAAATTAATTTATTATTATTATTATTATTATTATAATTATAACATTAGCCATAAAGAATAATGATTAATTTACACAGAGTGTGAGAGCTGTGAAGTGAGACAAGTTATTGTTCAATGAGTTGCAGAAAAAAATGATAATGATGCAAGTTAAGGGTTTAAGAACATAATATCTAGCATAAAATGAAAAGTAATAATTCTTGTTGGAGTCACTTGAACTTGAGAGACACATTACATGTAAAAAAGGTTCTAAATAATCAAATTTTCGTATTGATTTATTATGAGATAATTTTATTTTTTATACACGTATAAAAACAGGTGAAATTCATATATATTTTTTTTCTCTATTCTCTTCACATAATCCTATATGAGTCTCGTACATTTTTATGCGTACTCAGGGATAATTTTATTTTCTAGGACATGAAAAACATCATACCCTTGATTTATACATTATAATATCAATCATTATGCTTTACCTAACAACTTTTGTTTATTTAACATTGCCTTTTTCTATGGGTTTCTCGGTGGGGTAACCTAGCCACTAAGTTGAATACCATTTCCATTTTGTGGTAATTACAATGTTAAATTGAGAACCGCAAATTCGTTGTAAATATAATGGTTAGCCAAAGCTTTTGTCCTTTTATGAAAGTGTAGTGCTTGATATACAAAAGTTCAACATAAAAAAAAAATAAAAATTGATCATGCAATTTTGAGGTGCAGGGATTCACGATGGTCAACCATGCGAAATACCATATTGTCGGTATACCAGCCATCCCACTTAGCCAGCTTAGTCCCTACAATGCAATCATTTATAGAATCTGCAACACAAAACCTTGACACCCCAAAAGAAGACATAATCTTTTCTGATCTTTCCCTCAGGCTAGCAACTGATGTGATTGGAGAGGCAGCATTTGGTGTCAACTTTTGTCTCTCTAAGCCTCATTCAGTTTGTGAATCAATCAAAAGTGTTAACAATATAGGGGATGCAGGTGATAATGATGATGAAGTATCAGATTTCATCAATCAACACATTTACTCCACAACACAACTTAAGATGGACTTATCTGGTTCCTTCTCCATCATACTTGGTCTACTTGCCCCTATACTTCAGGAGCCATTTAGGCAGATTTTTAAGAGAATACCAGGCACTATGGACTGGAAAATTGAGTGTACTAATAGAAAATTGAGTGGTCGTCTTGATGAGATTGTTAAAAAGAGAATGGAAGACAAGAACCGAACTTCAAAGAATTTCTTATCACTCATACTGAATGCAAGAGAATCAAAGACTGTATCAGAAAATGTCTTTTCACCTGACTACATCAGTGCTGTTACTTATGAGCACTTACTTGCTGGGTCAGCTACCACATCCTTTACGTTGTCATCAATTGTCTACTTGGTTGCTGGGCATCCAGAAGTTGAGAAAAAGTTGCTTCAAGAGATTGATGGATTTGGCCTAGCTGATAGGATACCTACTGCTCAAGATCTTCATGGCAGTTTTCCTTACCTTGATCAGGTTAGGTGGAACTTGCTGATATTTAAGTTTGCATTTTGAAGTTGCAAAAGGCCAAGCAAATAGGTTTTTATGATCAATTTAATTAATGCAGGTGATTAAAGAGGCGATGAGGTTTTACACTGTCTCCCCATTGGTTGCAAGAGAAACATCAAATGAAGTGGAGATAGGAGGTTACCTTCTTCCAAAGGTAATATATTGATAGTGTTTGTAGAAATAATTTGTGATTTCCTTCAAATATACATGTAAAATTAACTTTCTCTTGGGAGACACTGCATCTATCTTTGCTTTCATGATACCACCAGGGCTTTCTGTTTTGGTATATTCTACGTGAAGGAGACTTTTTTTAGCTATGCCATCATTGATATATTTTACATGTGCAGGGGACATGGGTATGGTTAGCTCTTGGAGTTCTAGCAAAAGACCCAAGTAACTTTGCAGAGCCAGAAAAGTTCATACCAGAGAGGTTTGACCCCAAATGTGAAGAAATGAAACGAAGGCATCCTTATGCATTCATACCATTCGGAATTGGTCCCCGGGCTTGTATTGGTCAGAAATTTTCCCTGCAAGAGATCAAGCTTTCTCTGATTCATTTATACAGGAAATATGTATTTCGTCATTCACCTAATATGGGAAAACCTGTAGAACTGGAATATGGTATAGTTCTCAACTTCAAGCATGGTGTCAAGCTTAGAGTCATAAAGAGAACATAGTAGATAAATTATGTAAACCTATTAGATTATCCTTGTAATGTGCTGAGATCTAAGCAAACTATGTTACAGTATGATAAATCTGATGTAAGTTTATGAAAGAAAAAGTATCTTAACTTTGAATGTGTTTACAAAAGCATATTAGCCCCCAGATTGTTGGCTCTCTCTAATTGTATAATTTAGGTCTTGCATGCAGTGTCTTGCTTAAATTGATTTATCACAATATGCTGTCAGTTCAGAGTGAAATCAAAACCCACGAAAATTAACAATTATACAAATGGAGACCCTCAAGTAGTATATTGCTTAGGGAAAGCGCAAAAGCTACTGCTATAGCTGTAATTCAATTAAGATTCCAGGGAACAACAAGATGTTGAATTGTTGAACTTCTTGGAAATAAATACAGAAATCAATTCCATCAAGTCCCTCTCAGCGTGGCCTCTTATCCAAGTAGGTTGGCAAGTAAAGTGGCCTAGAAAAGTTGATTGAAGGGTCAGAACCAGCAGTGCTTTTGGAATCCCCATTAAAAGAAACCGCTGTTCTTTTGAGAAACTGGAAATCATCCATGGACTGTTGCCTTTGAGCTTTGTTATACATATGATTGCTCTTTTTTTGCTTTGCCTTGGTTGCCTCAGTCAGGTTCATGTAACTCGGCCTAATATTACCACTATCCTCTGTCCTGTCACAAGCCAATGCAGCATTCCCAGAATTTGGTGTTGTGGATGTGCATATTGAAGATGAAGCAGAGCTCTCATCATACCGAAATTCCGAACTTGGACTTGAAGATGAACGAGTAGCCTGACCAATATGGGGAGGTCTAGCAGAAATCCTTGTGGTGACATTGTTCTTTCTGACTTTGACCAAGCATGGTTCTGATGTTTTTGAATTCGAGGAGTTCACACATTTCTTTGACGGTGGTGGAGGGGTCTTATCTGAGGCATCAGCATTGGTTTGTTCCATTAATCTACTCTCCCAGGGCTTAGCTGCCATCCAACGTTCCAACCAACTCCATCCCCAATTAGCCTTGTCCATCTCATGATTATTGAGAGAGGGAAATGAGGCTTTTGCTCTTGAATTAGAGATAGGGGTTGATCTCCACTGCTGCAAAAGCCAAGGATTAAACATCTTTCTTAAGCTAGGAATAAGAAAGTTGCAAACTTTCTCAATCTGTTACCTTCTGTGCGAGAGAGTATGCAATTGTTCTCTCTCTCCTGAAAGCTCCTTCTTGCCTCATATGTAACTTTGTTTTGACATCTTCCAATGTTCCTTTACTATCACACCACCCTTCCTGCATGTTCCCAAAACATGTTTCTTAGAAAACATTGTTCAACATCACCTCACAAGCATATGGCAGCATCATGCAAAGGTAATGTATGTGTAACCGCACGTGTGCCTATTGCCTAATCATTATTAGTTGTAATACAATTTTTTTTATATGGAAGGTTTAAGAAGTATGATACCTCAGCTTGTTTCAAGAGTTCAGCCTTGGTGCGCCTCTGATTGAGCATGTCCTGCACTGCTTGCCCCTCTATGGACATTCTCACACGACGAGCTCTTACTCGTGCTTGAACACGAACTAAGGCTTGCATGCACCTCAGTGTCACCGCAGCTTGCTTCCTCACCTGTCTACCCCTTACAAGAGCTTGAAGCCTCACCACTCCCTTCAACGCTCTCAATGCCCTTCTTGCCTGCAATCATAATAAACGTGTGTTGAGAAATATAGTCCCACATTGGTTGTATGGGCAACTAATGTGAGGTTTATAAGGCCTTAGACACTCTCACCCTTTGAGCTAGCTTTTGGGGTGATGTATCCCAAGGTTCTTAACATGGTATCAGAGCGTTCGAAATCTCACTGCCTCCCACTTTCTTTGTAGTGGAATTTCCACATGTAGGTGGACTTGTATGTTGTCCACCCTTCAAGCCCAGTGGGCTCTCGTGTGAAGGGGCGTGCTGAGAAATATAGTCTCACATTGTATCTCTCACATTAGACAATGCTTAATTATATAAAGCATTGTTCTTATAGAAAGTTAAATGCAACAAGACATTTTAACTATAAAATCTACTAACAACTAATCTTTCTTATGAGAGTTATTAAAAACTAAAGAAACAATACAGTTACTTCAGAACATTAATTCATGTTTCTCTGATTTCCCAATCAGATCTGAACATTCAGTGTGAATTTAGCTCCTTAGACACAAGCTCTAAGAAAGATATTAATCTCAATTATTTCACTATTCCATGGTTATACCTGTTAATTTGGAATAAATTGAAGACAAGTTTGAAGCTTAACTTGTTCTCTCAATCGTTTGAAATAAAACAAAAGCTGGGCTTGACATGTTTTATGCATATTATGTTGATGGTTCATTGCATTGCATTGAGTGAATCCAAAGCAAAAAAGGGAGTGTTACCAAGAAGGCGCGAAAAGCAGTTTGGATTCTGGTGGCGGCCCATTCTTGTCTGAAGAGTTTAAAATCCTTAGGTGGAGCTCGGACAACGGTGGCCACTGCGGCGGTGAAAGCATCGGAATGAGAACCCTCAGACTCAGAACCTGTTCTGTGGTTCCCTCTGAAGTCCCCTGAACCTGAAAAACTCTTCCATAACCTCCACTTCTTGCTCTTCACACCCTCCTTCCCCTACACAGTTAAAGCGTGCTTCTATTAGTTACTAAAAACAAAGAGGAATTAAAAATAGTAATAGTTTGGGTTGGTGACACATGCATACAGCAAGTAACTTACGTGTTCATCCTTGTCGGGCTTCTTAAACCCGATTATTGCTTTTACCCATTTCCCAGATGCACCCATTTTGATTAAGAAACCGTTCTTTTGTTGAGTGAAGAAACTGAGCTTCGAGAGAAGGGAAAAATAAAATCAAATGATTTCTTTAGATTCAGTGTTATGAGACTAATAATGTTGGGGAGAGAGGGAGAGTAGTGTTTTTGTTTTGTTGTGTTGTGTTTTGATTTGGGTGGGTCGTGGGTTGTGTCATGTGTCTGTGTGTGTGTGTCGTGGCGGTTTCGGCGTTTCCGAGATTTGAAATTCAAATGTGCAACGGACAAAGCATGTGTTGGTCCCGCTAAAAGTTGCGCATTCCCACATCGTCATCGTCCCTTTTTCTAATTTGCATTGGTTGGATTTGGAAATTGCGACGTGTTATGTGGGCCCCGCTTCCTTTGGGGGGAAAACCATGAAAAGGCTCGAATTCCTTGTTTTTTGTTGTTGATGTTGCGTGTTGTGTACAGTAAATCTGTAATGAGTAGTAATACCGGGAAAAAAAAATAAAAGGTTTTTTTTTTTTTTTTTTTTGTAAATAAAAAAAAAAAAGGTTTTGGAATGCTGGAGAAGAATATTAAAAAGAACATGACCTTGGTTGGTTTTACAGACAAAGTACCTAAAAAGTAAATGTTTTAAAAATTAAACTAGTAAGTTTTCTAAATCATAAGTTTATTAAGATCTTGCATTATTTGGATTAAAAATGAATAAATTATTTTATATACCTTTTTTTGTTTATATTTGTCAACTACATTTTAATATTATTATATCAGAATCTTAATATGAAAGAGAAATAAAAAAGGTAATTGAGATTCTGATTTAGTGTTAGAGAATAATAAACAAAGGTTGACAAAAAAAGAAGATGGTAGAATAATTTATCCCAAAAAATTATAAAATATATTGTCATTTAAAATCCAGTTATAAGTATATTATATGTACTAATCATTTTTAATTTTGTACCAACGTCTGTCTATGTCAATGAAGTATCAGTGTTTAAAAACTCGGCTCGGCCATTGACCCGGCCGAGGTCAGGGGTCACGGGGTTACGGGTTCAACCGGGGGGTCACAGGGTCACTACGCTGACCCGGTTTTATATATTAAAAAAATATATATATATATATATATATATATATATATATATATATATATATATATATATATATATCTATATGAAAATATTAAAAAACAAATCACCAATCATTAAAGATTCAAAATAGAATATCCAAAAAAAAAAAAGATTCAAAATATATTTAATATAATTCACCAATTATAACCACACGTCAATATTACACAACTTAATTAAAGTATCAAGATACCAAAGTACAAAACGCATATTCTAATGATACCAAAGTATCAATATACCACAAGTCTAGGTCGCTGGGAGAGAAGAGAATGATTAGATTTAGGTTTGCAAGTATTTTTATTTTATTTTTTTAATAAAACGACGTTGTTTCATGGAATTTTCTTTTAAAAAAAAAAAACATGCAGTGACCCCTTTGACTCCTCTGACCCGGGAGTCACTGAAATCCGACCGGATTTTGAGGGTCGGAGGGATCAATGTGCATATAGGGTCCAACTTGTGACCCCAACCCTCAGAGGGGAGGGGTCAGGGTTGACCCGGGTCAACCCGGGAGTGGAGTGGAGTTTTAAAACACTGTGAAGTATATTAATCTAAATTGATCTGATGGAAAAAATAATAATAAAAATGATAAGTATAACGTAGCGATAAATACAACCTCTCTCTTAGTGCATAACCTGTCTCTTTAAATTATTGGGGTCAGGGTTGACCCGGGTCAACTCGGGAGTGGGTGGAGTTTTAAACAATATGAAGTATATTAATCTAAATTGATCTGATGGAAAAAAATAATAATAAAAATGATAAGTATAACGTAGCGATAAATCTCTTAGTGCAGAACCTGTCTCTTTAAATTATGCTCATAAGTTCTAATTTGTCCTTTTTTTTCCAATAAAAGAGATTGATTTTGGCTTTTCACGTTTCGAAAAGAAACAAACATAACACACAGTTGCAAATGCCTTTATGCTTAAACTGTAGTGCCATTAGATTTGAAAGAAAAAACCGAGAAGAAAAAAGAAGAAGGAAAAGTGTGTGTTATTTCAAGGATGTAAAGTTGTGTCAATTTAAGAAAGAGAAAGAGATAGATAAAGGAGGAGATAGAGTTGACAAAAAAAAATAAAGACGTGGGTCTCACCTCTTTGTGAGAGTGAAAGAATATAAGTTGTGTCATCATTTAAAAAGATAAATATTTTTTCTAACAAAGAAAACGAAAAGCAAAAAACTTCAATTTTTTATTTTTTATTTTTTTTGGTACAAGGGGCAAAAGCCCCAAAAACAGCAAATAAAAAAAAAAACTACATTAGAAAAGCTAACTTAACAGAATCATGATAGAGTAGAAATATTTTTTTATCCGAAAATCACGATTTTGCAGAAATATGATGAAAAAGTGAGTTTTACCAAAAATGTTATCACGAAGTTATTTGGTAGACCAAAATATCCACGAAAATGTTAGGTTAATTTTCTTAATACTATATTTGGTTAATAATATTATTGAGAATGTGGATTGAGGCTAATTATGTCTCAAAAAAATTATCAAATATTCTTGTCATATGAAATTATCATAATACCACCTATTTGGTGGCAGATAGAATTTTTCTTTATATTTATAAACATGAGTAACGAAAATTCGACTTTCCCAAAAAACAATTTACAACCCTCGTACTAAACAAATGTGGATAAATCAAATTTTCAATTTCATTTTTCTATGATTTTAAAATATTTTCTTCTATCAAACACTCTAAAAAAAAACTTGAGGGATGTTTGGTATATGAAAAAAAATTAGATTCATGGAAAAGTAACATTGGCAATCTTATATTACCATCTATAAGATGATATTTTAGAAATCTCGTACGGTCAAAAAAGGACACATATTTCTCAGACAAAAATATTTTTGTTAAATCCTCTCTCTCTAGCAAATTTTTTTGAATTCTCTGCATCACGCCTCGTCTTGTCCATGACATTCTCCATCTCTGCATAAGTACGGAGAACTTTATCCTGCATTTGCTAAATCTCTTGGGGGGCGTTTGTTTCGGGAGTTTGGTCAAGTTCTTTGGAGAAATGATTCGTGAATTCTCAGAACTCCACGTTTGGTTCGCTGGATTCATGACATATCCATCTTTCGTTGTTTCCCATCATTCGCCAATTTAATTTTTATTTTCGAGAACAGAAATAGATAGGAAACTCGTTTGGTAAAACCGGTTTATTTTTTTGTTCCCGGAATGAACCGGTTTAATTTTTGTGCTGGGAAACAGAAAAAAGAATCAGAAAATTTCTGCTTTTTCGTTCCCGGGCACAAAATGAGAAACACTTATCTCTCTTAGTCACTCTCCATCTCCATCATCATCACCACCACCACCATCATCCCGACACGACCACCGCCACCATTGTCGCCGCCGCCATCATACCACTAGTGTTGTCGTGACCACCCCCACCACCACGATGCCACTGCCACCATCACCACCACCTCCACCCATCACTGCCACCATCACCACCACCACCACAACTATCACCGCTGCAACCACCACCACCATTATCACTGTCACCGTCACCACCACCATCACCACTACTGCCATCAACCACCACCATCATTGCAACCACTGCCGCCGCCATCGCCATCGCCATCACCACGCCACTGCCACCACCGCCATTGCCACCACTACCACCATCACGACGCCACTGCTACCATCACCACCATTATCATTTATGCAGCCACCACCGACGACTGCCACCGCCACCACCAACCACCCCCACCATCGTCACAGCCACTACCGCAACCAATACCACCATCGCCACTATCACACCACCCCGCCACTACCACCACCGCCGCCACCACCACCACCACTGTCACCACCGCCATCGCCATCGCCACAACCACTGCAACCCCCGCCACAACCACCTCCACCACCATTGTCATAGCCGCCGCCGCCACAACCACTGTCACCGTCGCCGCCGCCGCAGCCACTGCCACCACCGCTGCCGCAGCCACCGCCACCATCACCACCACCACCACTGTCACCACTGCCACCGCCGCCGCCACCACCACCACCATCGTCACAGCCACTACCGTCACCAACACCACCATCGCCACCATTACACCACTGCCACCATCACCACACCACTGTCACCACCACCACCGCCGCCACCACCGCTGCAGCCACTGCCACCACCACGCACCGCAACCATCACCATCACCACCACCACCACCACCACCACTGTCACCACCACCACCGCCACCAAGCACATATGCCACGAACCACCATCCCCACCACCATTGTCGCAGTCACTGTCGTCACCTCCACCACCACCATCCCCACTACTACCGCCTCCGTCGTAACTATTACCATTGTCATCGCCGCAACCACTGCCGTCAAAACCACCACTACCACCACCACCGTATCGCCGCCGCCACCACCACCATGCCACCCCCTGCCACCACTGCCTCCACAACCACACCATATGGAAAGGAAAGTGATGATCTAAATTTTTTTATATTTAATAGGAATTATTTTTTGTTATATTATTTGTTGTGTTATCAAACACAATTCTCATTCTCGGAATAAAAATATAACATGTTATCAAACACATTTTTTTTCTCAGAAACTGTTCCAAGGCACAGAAATAGAAAAGAATTGTTTCTTTTCAGAAACAGTGCTAGGGAATAGAATGGTTGTCATGCACACCCTACCATATCTTACAACACGCTGCTTTCGACAGATCATGGTAATGCAGGAACATTGCCTTCAAGTTTGTGAGGTTATTTTTGTAAAATGACTCGTATTCTCGTTAATATTTTATTATCAATCAAATATAGTATCAGAAAAAATTGATTTAATATTTCTGAGAATATTTTGATCTACTAAATAGTTTTTGGTATCATTTTCGGGAAATTTATTTTTCATCATATTTTTGCGAATCGCAATTTCCAAATAAACTTTTTTTTTTAATCTTTTGCCAAATA